CCCCAATCCCCTCCCCTCTCTCTGTTTCCATGTTCTACAAGATAGTCTGTTGTGGGTGCCTTAAATTTTATGTTCAACCTCGATGGAGAATGTAATTAGCGGCAAACTATCTCAGATCTCAAGGTTTCTCAAGTAAAAAAAAGCAATAATCTACTTTTAACCATATCCGTACACCTTTGGGCCATTTTGTATCCCCAGGGTTATATTCTTCACATTTTAGAACACTTCTAGTACATGTAAGAAGATCTCTTTGAGTTTTTCAGTATTTCTCAAAAAATCATGTTTACAGACTGCTATGCAAATGCAAAGCGTGCGGATCGGATTAACGAGTAGATTTCCTCTTTGAAAAGTGGTGGCACAGAGTTCCCCTCGTCGTATGGATACGATAGTAAAAACACGACCTACGGATAGGGTTAAACATGTGTCGCCTTCTGTTGATTGTGAGTTGTAGATCATCATTTAATTAAGTAAGACTCCTCCTAGCTGTTCTGAAATATCTATACTGGTCATTACAGAGTATAGAAGATGATGCATTGAGATATTTCTATTAGATGGTGCATTTAAGGAAAGGCTTGAGAACTTAATAAAAGGAGACACAAAGTACAAGGGCATAACATAAACAAACACGCATCGTGAGCCTATGCTCCTCCTCACAAAACAACGGGACACAGAGTACAGCAGTATTCTACACATCCAGCTAACACATCACCATGACCACCGCTCTGGGTGCCGCTACGATAATTACATCGACATAGATTTATTTATGGGTCACCCACGACTGGACTCGCTGAAAATGCAGGTTACAAAGTTATAATAATATTCGTTATCAAATAATACAAAAATAACAAGAAATCACTCGAGCATATCATCTACATGTTTCTATGCCTTGGATAAAACCAAACAAACAAACATTCAATAAGCTAACTTTCAGGGTTTTTATATCTTGTGAAACAATTATACCAACAGATCAGTCCAATGCAAGGTGTCAATGTCTTGCGGCTGGTTTCAGATAATTATATTATAAAACAGTTCAAACTGCACGTGTTGTCTCTTTCTTCTTCTTCTTCTTCTTCTTCTTCTTCTTCTTCTTCTTCTTCTTCTTCTTCACGTAAGTGAAATACCAGTCGTCCATACAAACGAAGTTGCTCGTTTACGGTCACCTGGACTGCTAAACAGTTGGCAGAGCCCAAGGGCTTTTGGTCCACCATGTTGCACAGTCGTGATGCGGTCCCCAGGGTCGTAGCTCATCACAATCAAAGGCAAAAAAAACAACCAAGTGTGCTGAGACGGCTTCGCTAGGATCCATGATTCTGAGCTGCCGATGCTGGTCTGGCTAGATTTGTTAATGCTTATTTCAACTCTTTAAGATTACTTTTGAGGTGGGTCAGGCGAATCTAAAGTCCATCTCCGACAAAACAGAACCACACATCAGCTTGAAAACAGCCCCAACAACTCAAGTTCAAGAATGCCTCGTTGGGGATTCGAACCAGGGTCGCTCGTAGCGCAGTGCAGCTAGATGCGAACTACCCTAACGGCCAGCCGATACGTTGAAGGCTTACTGATAAAGATTGTCCGTAAAGACTTCCTCAAGACAGTAATTTACACTCTCTAATTGTGGAAAACTTTACACTCTCAGTTGGAACTCGAGAAAGTAACCTGCAGTCCGATTCGGATTGAATCTAAAGATCATCTATTCACAAAACAGCTTCTCTGAAGAACAAACTCTCGCCACAAGAGTTACAAACACTTAATGAAGAGTGGTACATTGCAAGGTGCTATACTGTATGCCACAATGCATTATTGTTGCTCTGAGTGTTCTCGGGCTGCGTCTGCCAGAGCTCCCCCGTCTACTTAACATCATTTATGCAGCTGGTGACAGTAACGAAAGCACGACATTCCGCTTTTCGAAAGCATGGGCGTGTACCTACACAAAGCCACGATGGGTAGAAATAGCGCACTGAATGTCCATGCTGAAGTTCTCAGATTCTTGAACAGGACTCAGGAGTCCACAATCCTCTGGGATTTGATCACGCCTGTCAGAGTCCCAAATACTGCCAGAAGTGATTACACCGGTCAAATGACATGTGGTATTAATTGTTTTTTTAAAAGTAAACATGAAGGGACTTTCGTATCTAAAGTGAAGTACATTTTGGAAAAGTCCAACTTCATAGGAAAAGTTCCCAAAAATCATGACAGAGATTCCCAAAACAAAGGTGGAACCAGAATTTCTAAAATGAAGAAAATAATTGTCTCTGAGGTGTACTCATGTGCAGTTTTCAGACTGGACCAAGAAGGCTGCACTCCGAAAGAGAAGGCTTCACCGAGTATTTAAATGGGAATAAGCCACACTTTGGTGACCAGCTCGTCGAAAGAGCCAAATTCCTCTTTGTCGGTGACTTTTAAAATTTTGCATCTACATTTAATAGTGTGGTATTATTGGTATAGATCTAGTATAAGCAGGGTGGTCCCATGCCCCTTTTTGGGTGACCACTGAATGCCCTTAATAATTTTCTTTTCAAAATCAGTACGTTGTCAAAAGTCCAGCATTTCTAGCAGAAAAAGGTCAGATTTTTGTGACACATTCAACAAGGGCTGGTCATGTCATGCTGAGAATATTTCTACACTAAAACATGCAACGCCTGACAAATGAAATACAACACCACTAGTCTTTAATTTTTCAAACATAAAGACTTGGTAGAAGCAGCTCCGTCGGTACAAACTGATTCACGTCAAGTGTTTAAGTATGCTCTTGCTAGGATTTATCATTTCCTATCACATCGTATTGCAAACTCCTGCTTTCGATTATACAATAAAAGCACAGGATGTTCACAAGGGCCACTGAAAAGTACTTCAGCCAAGAGAATTGGCGTTGATGGTAGGCTAATATATTGTTCTCACAGAGCAATACTGGCATCGCTCGAAAAATGGTTTCCTTCAGTGTAAAATAGTGTTACCAAACTTGTCCTCGGATACATTGTTTGAGAGGTTGTGAGGGAACGTTTCAATTTCGGCTTTAGAATGAGTTACAACTCCGTGGTCAGCAGTTTTCAAAGCTGTTGTTCGGGGACTTCATGCACCACCAATATCTTCCATAAATTCAATTGGACCTGCATACATTTAAGATCACGCACAGCTCTCCTGAGTTAAATGATCGACCATCGGTGATCCATGCCAGACTCAGTGAAAGGTTTCCTCAAGAAGAGACAGACCGCATGCGCTTTAAAACTTTTGTCGGAAACTCGGCGGCGCAAGGTGCTCCATTATGTAAATGACACTTCACCACATGTCCTGTCACGGTATACTTCTAATCACAAGTGCACACTCTTAAAGTCAGGAAGGAATTCAGTCGCAGTGACAGAATTCCTTCTTCACGGACAACGAGTTTCAATGTGCACGCCACGCCATTTCTTGTTTCTCTTGGATTATAATATATACACAAAATCCAACACTTTTCGATTGACAGTGACGCAGGTGCTGTCACTTGCAGGTATGAATGTCAACCAAAGTTTCACAAGTCTTGCACTCAACGTAACAACACCAATGGAACTTGCACCGGCATCTTTCTACGTGTCTGACGACCTGCGTGTTATAGCCACGCCCACAACACAGCAAGTCGCAGCTCTCTGCCCCGTTCGCCGTCCGGTTACACCGGCGTCCCGTCGTACCCAGAATCCCTCTCTTCGGGTTGTTCCGGCAGTAGTTCGGTGACCTCGATAAGTGCACAAGCTCTTCGTTAGTAATCGGCTCTCGACGCCGAGCCTTCTCCTTCCGCCGGAGCCTCCGCTTCGAGCGGCCGGCCAGACGAACAGAACGTTCGTAGCAGTTTTTGAGGTACTGACCGATGTCTTTGAAGGCCGGGAGTCCTCGCCAGCAGGTCTTGACAGCACATGAGCCCGACACGCCGTGACATCGGCATTGGCGGGACATCAGCTTCTCCACGGTCTGTGGGGGAAGAAATAAGAACAATTGTACGTTTTGGTTTAACTGGGTTTACGGCATTGTGTGGTACGATATGGTATGGTGTGCAATGCTGCTCTATGGTATGACATGGTATAGTACGGTATGGTATGTCATGGCATGGCATGGTATGGTATGGTATGGTATGGTATGGTAGGGTATCTTATCATTATAGTATGGTATGATAGGATAGGATACGCTTGAGTAAGGTATTTGTTCGAAGCTCCTTTAAAAACAATTTTAAAATATCAAGGCGGAGAGATTTTCGAATAAATGGTCCATAACTGATGACACACAGGCACGTGGGTTAAGAGCCCCAGAAAACTACATAGACAACCCTAACACGATAAATAAAAACCGGCATCTGTGGGGCAGCATGTCACAAGACTGAAACTGCCTTACGAGTGTTCGAGGTTTGAATGACTATTTGTCATGTCAGAGATTTTCTCTCTTCTTTGTGTCCTGACGGCAAACCAAAACATGTGCACTTTCGAAATGATCTACATTTTGTCGTGTAGTATGTACAACACCGTCGCCTCTGCCAACACCATCATCATCATCATCATCATCATCATCATCATCATCATCATCATCATCATCATCATCATCATCATCATCATCATCATCATCAACAACAACAACAACAACAACAACAACAACAACAACAACAACAACAACAACAACAACAACAACAACAACAGCAACAACATCAACAACAACAACAACAACAATAACAACAACATCATCAACAACAACAACAACAATAACAATGAGATTTTGTAGGAACTTTTGATGGAGGTCTCGAATTGGGGTTTCAGGGTACAGCTTTTTTGTAATCATAGCATATCATTTTCTTTTAAATGTGGGTATTTATATGCCCCTCGTTGACACAATTTAGATAATCTAGAAGGTTTTGCCGGTCAAGACCAACCCGAGCCGATATTACTTATAAGGGTACAATATGCCAGCAAAACGACCAAGATGCGCGATACAAGTAAAAAATCTCCTCACACGGGAACCGAACTCTGGTCTTCTGCGTGTGGTGACAAGGCACCTCATTGCTACACCACCGACACCGGTACGGTATAGTGAGAATACGAAACAAATGTAACGTTTTTCCTCTTTATACGCCATAAGGTTAGCTACTAGAAAAACATGCACGTTAGCGTCTATATTCCATGGGCTTAATAAGGTAGACGTTGCGACATGGGATCAGGGACAACTTTATTCGACATTCACCTCATGAATGACTAAATGGCGACCGAAGGCGACCTCCAAAGGAAAGAAAGAAATAGATAGGTTTTACATATATTTTTTGCCTCGCACGTTTTTGTCTAAAATGGTATATTAAGCTGTGCCTAAGGTATTGTACATTAAAACAAACCAACCAACCAACAAACAAACAGCAGCCTGCTTTCTTGTCGAAGGCATGCCACTCTGACAGCTAGAAAATCTACCTATGTTCTGTTTCAGACTCAGTTGTAGTTTATTTTATTGCAGGAGCTGGGATCTCTCTGTGTCAGTTTTACAGCTGAAGCGTCAACGTTTTCCTTTTGGCACCCGAAAACAGGTTAAAAAATGTTTTGCGTTGGTGGTTTTACGCCGCAAAAATAGTCTGGGACGTACGCCACTTTTTTTTTAAACCAAGGGGAAAAACTACGTCCTAGTTGGAAATGCCAACTTCCCGAGAAGCAATGCTGGAGAAAACAATAATAATGGTGTGCTGTTTGACCGAGAATCGTATCTAAGCGTCAATGGGAATCTTCGGCCTCGCATACTTTTTGTTTAGAATTTTGGCTTTGAGGTAGACTACTAATTTGGCCAAGACAGATAGGTGAACCTGACGTTTCCAATTCTTTAAAACAAGTTTTCTCTCTCTCTCTCTCTCTCTCTCTCTCTCTCTCTCTCTCTCTCTCTCTCTCTCTCTCTCTCTCTCTTTCTCTCTCCTTCTCTCTCTCTCTCTCCCCCCCTCTCTCTCCTTCTCTCTCTCTCCCTCCCCCCTCTCTCTCTCCCTCCCCACCTCTCTCTCTCTCTCGCCCCCTCTCTCTCTCTCTCGCCCTCTCTCTTCCCATCCTTCCTGCCTGCGCCTTTTTTTCTGAAATGTCTCTGACGTTTTAGTTCACGTCCAGTGAAGAAGTCCGCCTTCCATGCACAGTTTTTCGAATCCAATTGTGCTTCAACAATAATCACGCAAAGAGAAGTTCGTGATCTCCGCTGTGGAATGTTGTAATAAAACAAATAAACAGAAGCAACAACAGCAGCAACAAAACAGCAGCAACAGCAGCAACAGCAGCAGCAGCAGTAGGAACCGTGGAAGAACCAGCAACATCTACATCAGCAATAAAAATGGCATTAATAACACACCCAGAAACAACAGTGGTGTCTTTGGGTAACGTTTTCCTTGTATACAGACCAGCGAAGGAGTGACTAGGCATGAGTGAACATCTTTTTGCCTCTGGACGAGCGCCAATAATGTGCGAAAGTTTTTATTTTAATGGCTGGTTAAGAAACAATAACAACAACACAAAAACGACTTAAAGTAAGAAGATTGGAGGGATTTTTAAAAGCGTTTTATAGCGCTCGCAACCGCATAATAAGGTCATATGAGGGCGCGGGACACATTATAAACTATTTCAGTTTTGCCAGGAAAGAGATTCTTGTGGGTGGTTGGCGGGTGCTCAGGGGTGGTTTGCTTCTTCTTTCCTATCAAACATCCATCGTCCTTGTCTCCCCTCATTTAAAAAAATGTTTGTTACTCTCTTGTAACACATCTAATCTTCTGGCGCTCATGTGACCTTATGCAGTTGCGAGTGCCGTAAAACTTCTACTAAAACAAAACAAAGATATTCTGTAACTTGTAGGTGTTGTTATGCCCCCATCGATAACGTTAAAATTATTTTAAAAGATGGCCATCGACACCATTTGATTATTTAAAAGAAGGGCCACTTCAACGCTGTCTGTTCAGACTTATCCTGCAGAAAGATGGAGATACTCGACACAAATTGTCCCCACTCGAGAATCGAACTCACTTCTTTTGCGTGCGACGGTGGAGAGCCTAATCAGTACACCCCAGACGCTCTTGAGCATTAAATGAATGAATGAATGAATGAATGAATGAATGCATGAATGAATGAATGAATGAATGAGTGGTACATAAATGGACGGGTAAATAAACAAAGAAACGAATGAACAGCATAGATCTATGAATAGTTCAACGAAACTTACAGAAACAATGAATAAATGCATGAATAAATGAATGAATGAATAAAAGAAAATAATTTTTTGTTTGGGTAAGTGTTGTTACGGCGCTGGCAACTGCATAAGGTAATATGAGCGCGCGGGACACACCTAATACTTTTAGTTGGTAGGAAATTTTGAATTTTGCTCGGGTGGCGGCCAAAGCCTACTCTTATCGATTTTAGACCACCAAGGGATCTTTAACGTGCGCAACTTGCACACGGGCCCTCCGAGATTTTTCGCCCTTGTCCGAGAAGGCTAGGTGTAGATCTTTCCTACCAGAAGATCAGGGGTGTGGTATAAAGACAGCTGTAAGAAGGAGCGAAGGAGTAGCAGTAAAAAGGCTGCAGAAAGAATCAGGAGCCCAGAGGAGGGGGCAAAGGAGGTGAAGGGGCGGGGGCAGAAAGTGGAAACGAAAGCAGGCAACAGAACATTGCTAGAGAGCAGGAAAGGAGGTGAAAGGAGACAATTTTAGAGAAGAAAATTTTTCGGTCGCTACCCGGATTCGAACCCGGGACCTTTGAAAGAGAGAGGCAAAAACCTTAACCTCTAGGCCACGAGAGCCCCCAAAGAAAAGAATGAAAGAAAAGAATAAAAGAAATGATAAATAAATAGTGGACGCGCAAATGAACAAATAAGTTGATAAACAAGCTATGCCCCACAAATATTTTTTTTAAATATAGTATCCTTGTTACCTATCCATGAAATCCAATATAATTGGATCCTTAGCATTTCCCCTAACGAGCAAAATGAAAACACACCTGTGCTATTAAAATTTTTTCGAGATGTCACATGGTAATCCCATTACACAATGATAGCTCAGGAAGACAGAAGAAAGAGAATACAAAGATAGAATAGTGTCGAATATCAACACTCTATAGAGATTGGAGGGACGAACAACTAAAGCATAGCTGCATAGGAATTTATTGCCAGCAAAATTAAAAGCTATTTGCAAGACTAGTTTAACAAACGAATAATACAATTTAATAAAAACAACTCGATTTTTGTCAGATTCGTCACCATGCTAAAATGCCTTTAACAGCGTTGAAGTTATAAGTCAAATTAATAGCTTAATACCGGCGGTTTCGACTCGGAAAAGGTTATGGTGCGCTTTTACTTTTTGCAAAATTCTTTTTTTATTTTTAATGTAGGCTACCCCGCCCCCATATTTAAAAAAAAGAAAAAAGCCCGACAAAAGTACATCATTTAAAACTCAGACTTCGATCTAATATATAATACTAATAATATATAGCATTTATATAGAGCATTTCCAAAAAAGTAGCTCAATGCGCGTTACATTGGAATACCCATTTTCAAAACCTTTCTTACTACTTCCTTTCTTCTCATGCAATATATATATTTATGCACACACGCACACACACACACACACACACACACACACACACACACACACACACACACATACACACACACACACGCACACACACACACACACACACACAGAGAGAGAGAGACAGATAGATAGATAGATAGATAGATAGATAGATAGATAGATAGATAGATAGATAGATAGATAGATAGATAGAGAGAGATAGATAGATAGATAGAGAGAGAGAGAGAGAGAGAGAGAGAGAGAGAGAGAGAGAGAGAGAGAGACTATTTTCATCCAGACATAAGAACAGAACAACTATAATGAAAAATAACGTTAAGAGCTTATGAAGGATAGGCCTGTAGGAACAGAAAATGTTTAAGATGTCTTTTGAAGCTATCAAGTGTTTTTATTTGTC